AAACACGGGTATACTTTCGATTTTATAGAAGGTATGTCCTCTTTTTATGAACATTAGTTGTCTTGATATATTGTCGAGTCATTTGTGGCTTTGTGTGAGCCTGCGCACTACGCGCGGCAGCTGACGACACCCTTACTATTAACTCTTAAGTAAAACATTTAGCGTTACGAATTGTAGAAATGCGTACGACTAACTAAATCATATCCAGTCGAACTAAAAGAGACAAAAAACAAGAAAAAATGCAAGTTTTGATCCTACAAGTCGTCAAGTAGCGCGTAGGTGTGAAATAAGCATAAAACATCACAAATGACTCGAGGACATTTTCAAAAGATTTGATGTATGCTATGTTTTACAATTTTACTTTTTGCTTTTCCAGCTCTATAATTAATCAATAAATTTGTTCATTCTAGGCGAGATGCACGAGAAAAGCCCCTTTACCATGTGGGACTTCTTGCAACAACGAAAGCGTTGGTTGCAGGGTATTCTCCTGACTGTACATTCGCCAAGAATTGCTATAACACATAAGGTAAGCTTTTCGGAATATTTCCTTGTCCTTTCCATATTTATTTTGTGCACTTCAGGCTTTGCTTGCCTTGTCGTTATATGCATGGGCAACGATGCCGATAACATCACTGCAGGTATGTTATATAAACTTGTTTCTTCATTCCAAGGGTAAAGAGGTATTCTAGGTGTTCCTCTGCCCTCTATTTCCGCTTCCGCGTTGTCTTCCATTCGATTTCGCATTATCATTCGTTGGTGCTATCAATTTATACATGTATATATTTGGAGTGGTGAAATCATTTTCGCATAAATACAGGTACGTTCATTAGTTTTCTTTGAATCTATGCACATTTGAACATACATGAGAACTATTTTTTTATTACTTACAATTTTCTTTTTTTCGCATATATTCAGAGTCGGCTTATAAAGTGTTCTGCAATTCCTAATTGACTGTTATTATTTCATAATATGCACACCTACATAAGGCCCAAGACAGAGTTCACGCGATTTCATTTCGCGATTCATCGCCACAAGACAAGTGTTTCGAGTTCATTGCATGCCGATCTTCT